CGATACTTGTATCTCTAATGTTGCCTGTGAATAGTTTATACAAGCAAATGAACAACTTCAGATACAGCAAAATAAGCTAGCACAATTAGCATAGTTGATTGAGCAAAAGCAACTTAGCGTGATAGAATACAAATAATCAAAGAGGATTGAGATGATTTTCTGACCTTCCCAGCAAGAACGGCATATTTGATGACCACAGGAAACAGAAAACACCAAATCTCTTGGAAATTCTGCACGACATAATCTGCAAGCAATCTGTAAAGAGCAAAGTCCTACTTATTACCAATTATGAAAAAAAAAAAAAACATATATGGTCTGACGATAAAACTATATAATAAGTATGAACATATCAGGTTGATCGAGGTGCTTACTACAACTGCATCAGTTGGGGTTTCGACAACAGGACTCACGAATAGACCAACTGCCTTGCGTACCTTCTTTTCATATGCAAACCATTCTTCAGTGGCTCGATTGACATCCCTTCAAATATGCACATAGTTAGTACTCAAGGAATCAAGGGTATAATTATTTGAAATCAAGGCAACCGAACATTACCATTTAAAATGTTGCAGAAGAATTGCAGCTTCATTTCTTGACAACAAAAGGACAGTAGAGACTGTTGTTATTCTATCTTCTAGGCATCGACGAATTTCAGCCTTGCTCATTGTTGTACATATAATCTAAACAATGCAGAAAAGAATGCTACAACATGTTAAGGGAGCACTGTCCATTAATCCAAAAATCTCAACTAGCTGTTGTTTCAAAATCTGAAGGAAAGCATTTTAATGCACTAAACAACTAGTATAAACTCTAGAGAAATCGCAATCAAGAGAAAAAAGACTTAATGTGGGTACCAAAAATATAAGCTAAGCTCTAAGCAAATTATATCGAAAGGGACAAATTTAGATTTTGTACTCTTAGTACTCCATAAATGTTACACACTTACACTTCTCATTGTGTAACGTCCTTATCTACTATTTAGATGTAAAGGGTTTGATATAATTTTCATGTGTCGAATATGATTTTCCCAAAGATCGAAATTGAAAACCTAAGTACCATTAATACAGACATACAGTAGTTTCAATTTCGAAAATGTTTTCTTTTGATACCTAACTAGCCTAAGTATTTAGAGTGATAACACGAACACGGCTTAATTTCTTATTATTGATCAAGCTTTTTAAAACCACTTACATTACTAATTATGGCTGAATTGTTCAATAATTTCCTATAAACAATCAATTATTAAAAGTTATCTATCTTAATATAAGTACCCATTCAAAAGCACACATAATGACAAAAGTACATATCCAAACATTTAAAATGACTTTTTTTTTTTTTTTTTTTTTTTTTTTTTTTTTTTTTTTTACCATTCTTCACTAATCAACATACAAAAGGATAAACCAAAAATTATAAAATATAATATCGAACATACAAATATGATCATAGAAATTTCAACCAATCCAAAAAAAAATATATGTAACAAAATATTATAATGATCACCTTATATTTCTCATGAATTTGGGAATTTTCTTGATCACCCATCTCGGATCCTACCCCAATGACCGAGATATCATCACTTTCATCGCCGGAGCTGAGTTCACGATCGAGAATTTCGATGTATTCCCAATCATCTTTAATTGTTTGCCCTAATTTTTTTTCCCAAAAAAGAAAATTTAACATGATTTCAAAAAATTTTAAAAAAAACCCAGATGATCAAACAGAGAATTTATAAAAACGATGACAGAAAAACCCAAGAAAAAAATATTTTCTTTTCTTAATAAATAATATTGAAAAAAAAAACTAAAAACAGAGTATAGAAACAGAGGAAAAGTGAGAAAGATTGAAAATTACTTACCTTGACGACGATTGAGGGAAACTAAATTAGAGAAGAGATGAGAAAGTGAATCATAAGAGATTTTTTTGGTAAAATTAGGCATTATTTTATGTTTTGATTATTAATTTGATTGAATGGATGAGTATTTTTGGGTGTAAAAACAGAGAATTTAGAGAAGAAACAGAGGAGGTTTAAAGGAAATAGAGAGGAAGTGAAGAGAGAAAATGGGGAAAAAATGAGAGGAAAAATGAAGTGAATTGCGATAAAATATTGGGTATTAAGTAAACTGAGAGGCCCACTTTCTGATTGACTGGCGTTTACTTTTGAATTTTTCTTCGTAAATGTTTAGCTTAACCTATTTTTATTTTTTATTTAAAAAAAAAAAAAATTGGTTTTCATTTAATTAATTCTTGAGGGTTCAATTAGTATTTTTTCGGTGTAAGGGTTCAAAAAGTTGCATATTAGAGGTTGATTGATGAGATTTAAAGAGTATAGTTTGCATATTAGAGGTTGAATAAAGAGTATGGTGTCAAGGACACCTCACAAAAAATTGAGATTATATAAAATAACTTTTTTTTTTGACAATACCCAAATGAAATATTGCTGCATATAATTATATACGGAGTACTTTATATTTTGTAACATTATCGTCAATTATATTTCACAATGGGATTTCAACCTAGTAATTAGCTATGCCTAAATAACTAGCATGTGGCCAAGTATAAGTAATATATAGATGATTATATGTAACATTATTGTCAAACTAATACTTATTACTTTAAAATCTCGTGAAATGCACCTTTGTGAAATATATTTGACTATAATGTTACAAAATATAAAGTATATAAAAGATATGCAGAAATATTTCATTTGGGTATTGCAAATTGCACAAAAAAAAGGCGGGAAAATAAGGTAATGACAAGTGTATAGATAGATAGATAGATAGATAGATAGATGATTATATGGACTATTGAGTGATGAGGGCAAATTCAGCTAAGCTAGTTTCTCAACTTTTTTTTTTTGGGAACAATATCTTTATCTTATAGCATAAGAAAATCAATTCAACCAAAGTCGGACTAAAATGATCTTGTATGAAATTCAAAACTCTTAGGCATGTTCACATTTACTAAACTGAACTGATTGGAGCTGGACTGAAATAAATTTTTATGAGAGAGGGAAATTAGGAACTGAACTGAACTGAGTTGAACTGATTAGAGCTGAACTGAACAGAACTAATTGGAGCTGAACTAAACTAAACTGAAATTAAATTAAATAAATATGAACAGACCCTTAATCGTGATCACACCAGTTAAAATTAAATTTAACTAGTTTCAACAAACAAAAACAATAATATTTGATTTTTAAAATATGGTTTAATTACAAATTCTAAGGGCTTGTTTTCACCGACTGAACTCAGTTGAACTGAACTGAGCTGAGCTGAGCTGAACTGAGCTGAACTGAACTGAACTGAAATGAATATTTTATAAGAGATGGAAATTATATTAGGAGCTGAACTGAACTGAACTGAACTGAACTGAGCTGAACTGAGCTGAATTGAGTTGAGCTGAGCTGAACTGAATTTCAATATAAGAGAACAGACCCTAAATGCATGAGATAAACTTCCAAGCTAAGAGTAAATGCATGAGATAAACTTCCAAGCTAAGAGTAATTATGAGCTTCTTATAAAAACAAGGCTAATTCCAGTAGATATCGACAAAGTTAATTTGAAGTTAGTAGCTTAATTAGCTTAGCTTAGCTTTCACCAGAATTACAAAAGTAGATTACTTCAATAATATAATTAGCTTAATGCCTTAAATAACTCTCTTCATGACTTCATGTACGACAATAATCTTTTTTTACTTTCTTTCCTAGAATTTCTTTTAGTCCGTCCTTTTTTCTTTCGATTAGACACTATTTAGACATATTCACATTCAATTGATCTCTCTTTCAAAAAGGTACTCTCCACAATCATATATTAATAATATTTGTTAAGTAGTTGATTATGCTTTTTATTCACTAATCACTACTGTAATTACTTTTCAGCATTTTCAATTTCCCTCTCTGTCCAACACATCATGCACTATACTTAACCCCGGATCTTTTATAACGCTATTAACCTATTAGGTGCATTCTCAAATATTTTATTTACTTATTCGGTCTTTTGTCATTTCAAAAGTTTAAAATGAGCAAATAAAATACCATTACATGTTTAATGTTTTGTACTTAGTCTTATTTTTTAAGTGCCCCAATTTGATCGACACATTTTACTAGTAAATTCATACAGTTATTTTGAAATGAATGAATATACATCTGAATCAAGTAATAAGTTCAATATCAATGAGATCTTGCCCAGATGCCTAATATGTATCCATAACAATTAGCAAGTTAAAAAATGATCCAACATTTATAGTACTCTTGGAATTTTGGAAGCCAAACAAGTTTTGGCTGCGAACATTTTGTTTGCTATGAATTTATAATAACCGTTTTTGAAGGTAAGAAATCTGTAGTAAAATGAAGGGATGAAGAATGAAAGATTTATTTACTTATCTATTTTATTTTTAAATTTTATGTTATTTTGTCAAATGAAAAACAAAAAATAAATGAAAGATAAAAAAGAACTTTAATTGACAACTTTTAATTTTTACCATCCTATCAAATATTTTAATTTTGGAAGGAAAAGAGCCCGGATATTTTGTCAAGGGTTTCATTTCCCTTCGTTACTTGGTTCTTTAAATGTCATCTCATTAATGGAACAAAACATGAAAACCTAATAGTCTAATACTTCGTACAAAGGCTTTTCATTTCTTATACATCCCTTTGCCAAATTCCCTTTACAAAAAAGGGCCTTACAAAGATGCTTACTTGATGCTCTTTGCCCACCCTTCAAGTACCCAGGTCTAAAACCGTCTAATTTCTTATATACACCGTATCATAATGTAACTACGAACCAAGATAAAGTTTATGTTATAAAAGGTTTTTATAATTACCTAAAACACTAACATGTACCTAAGATATTCATAGAGTTAGTTCGGTTGTACTTGTATTTAATTCAAGTACAACCAAGTCTATATTAGACCTGCAAATTAGAAAATGGATTTCTTTAGATAGATGCAGCCTAAACGAGGCCCAGCTATCACTTTATAGTAAAGCACAGCCCAAAACAACATAGCTTCCACAATATCAAAGATAATAATGAAGTTTCCAAACTTGCAACCCAGTCTTGTTGCAATTCACCAACACATAAATAGTCTTACAGAAATTATTCTTCTAGGAATTATGGTATGAAATCATCACAATTCCTAGCAAATTAAAGAAAGATTTGGCCATATAATTGTTTTGCCCACACAAAAGAGAAATAGATCTAATGATAGCACATATCACAAAGGAAACCAACAGGACCATTCTTCGGAAACTGACAATGCTCACAATTCTTGTTGACTGGCTGTTCAGGAGTCTCTTCAATACTAGCAGCTGTAGTAGTAATAATTCCTTGTTCCAGACTCTTGATGCCCATCACATCGCGAAGAGTCTTCAGATCCTTAATCCTGTTCTCTATGATCCACACCATGTTGTCAAAGTAGTTTCGAGCCACACTGCATGAGTCAAGTCACAATATGTTAATAACTCTGAATGTAACAAAAAATCTGAATAAAGAATATATTCATGTAGATGATTGAATTAGGCTAATAAGCTTGTAATTACCCTGTCTTCAGACACAGGCGATCACGAAACTCTGAGAACTGAGGTGGCAGTTTTTCCATATTGAGAACTGTTGTCAGCTGAGCTTCAACCTGATAAAGCTGTACCACAACAAATTCAGCATGCCCTGCAGAAGATTATCTAAGATGATTAAACTAAAGGAAGTAACACTTATTTTGTAGTTGATATTATATCAGAAATAAGCAGCATACTCATAATAAACTGTATGAGGTTTCTTCTGTTCGTTTCAAAGGGTGGTATGTAGTACTCAGCAACATGAGTCCACTTAATGACTCGCTTGCAATCTGCAATCTGTTTGCAAGAGAAAAGGAAAATGAAAGAAGGTAAATGTCATATTATGATTTCTCCATTGTAATGTTTCTGAATAATAGTACTGGGATTCACCTGCATCCATGCATCAGTATAAAAGCTAAGTTCTGCTTCAGTTAGGCCGGCTTTTTCAGCTATTGCTTTGAGCTGCAAATTTTATAAAGATAAGACTTTCATATCTATCAAAAATTTGAGGAAATAGTTATTTTCATCAAGAAGATGCTTATATATTTTGCGTTGAATCAAAACCTGTAATACTTGCATGTTGATTACATGGAATAATGCAACATTAAATGTACAAAATCATACTTAAAATGTTAAATTTCAGAAAAAGAGTAATAGTGGACAACAATTTTCGCAAGCTGATGAAAGTTCAACATACAAAATCTGTAAAGTCTCACCTGGCCATTTTTTAGCTTATAAAGCTCTTGCCTAGCCGCTTCTAAGTGCTGCAAGAGCCAAAGAATACAGGGTTACTCTCTGAACACTGCCAGTTTACTTCTAAACTAAGTTTAAGCTGAAGAAAAGATTTCAAGAAATGGTATACGCGCTATAGTTTTAGTTAATTACCATTTCAGTAGCCATCCAATGATTGTAGCTATTACTATACTTTTTAAGGCTATCCTGGGCTATCCGTGCTTTCTCTTCTCTATCATCATTCTATAAGATCAGGAAGGATAAAATGGCTCTTAATAACAGCCTGTTATAAAAATAAGTAATCTCCAGCTAAAAGTTCTTCAGTGAGGAATGAAAAGAGCACTCACCTCTACTTTCTCTTTCCCCTTAGAGCATGTGTGTTTGAACTCGTCACCATTCCATGAACCATTACCCAGCCAAGATGCACGGCACAGCCTGAAAGTAATATTAACATAATGAATGCATGATGGAGAATAATATAGATCAAAGGAATCAAATATGTGATATAAATGTCAAGAATTTACTTGCAAAAGTGATATTCACACGATGGGCATTGCATACGCTTATGAGATCCAGACATTTCAAAGGAATACCAGCAGCTTGGGCACCCATTCATGTTTGTGATTGACTTACTGTAAAACAGAAGTTATCAGAAACTAATCAGACAAAGGAAAAATTGTAGGTAAATTACTACAATATCATCGACAGATGCGACAAAGCACCTACAATAAGTACTATACTTGATATTACTATAAACAATCATATAGGATCTATTGTGTTCCAAGGAATGAGATCAGGATTAGTAACATCAAGAATAATTGCAGCGTTCAGTTCATGTATTCTTTAACTGAAACTGATTGTTACTCTACTGACTAACAAAGATTTTACTGATCAAAGTATCAAACAGATTTAAGCTGATTCAACAGTGTATTTGTTTTATGGAATTACTGATCATCAAAAACGCCGTATTACAGAATATTGTTTGAATTAGCTGAAGAAAAGAAGCCCTTAAATTCCAAGAGTCACAGGGATGATATCATACAAGTTTTCACTCTGCACGACGCATTCCATAGTCCAGTTACAATAAGTTGAACAGGCAATTGGCTGGTGAGCTTCCTTGGAACACTGTAAAAAGGAAAACTCTGTGAGTAAGACAACCAAACACTGCTCTTCAGAGATTACTAAGAATCAAGTCTATCGATAAGGGCATTAATCGATACACATGTTTCTTTCCCTGTTTAACTATATATTCCATGAATAAATCTTCTATAGTTTACTAGAAAACAGTGAAAAATAACTACTCACCTTCCAGCAGAAGGTATGGGTGCACTTACAAGTCACCTTGGGGAGGTTATCACCAATAAGAAGAATCAATGCATGCTTACATCCAAGACGGGGACACCAATTGGCCTTTACATGTTTCATTGAAGCGATTAGAAACACACAATCACACAATTTTTTTTTTTACAAAAACTATCAGACATAAGGGTCTCAGGATCTTTCTGACAGCAAAATAAATCATGAATTGAACCAAAGAGGATGCATGTTTAAGATTATTTAAGCAGCACAGAAATCTAATGGACCTTTAAGTTGTAATCGATATAGGATTTCATAAATGCATGCGCATATTTCTCCTTGTCATCTTTAGAAGCCAGCATGTTAATCATATCTTGACCAACGGCAGCTCCACAAGAAGTATCAGGACATCGTAACAATAGGGGTGGCGCAGGGTCTTTGAGTGACTTCTCAAAATATCCTACACGAGACAAGGAAACACAAGTTGATGGAATATGTTTAAGATCACTACAAATTGAACAAATCAGCTGATGCCTTCATGGCTTGGACCTAAGGATTATAATGATAGAAGTACACATGAAAATTATCATCATAGAAATTTATGTAATTATTAGATTTATGTAAATATAATCGTGAATTAATTTGCTAATATTCTAATCTAATATATGTAACTACATATAGTTCTGTTTTAGATATGTATTGCATCAGAACTGACCTGCCCAACAAGTATTGCAGAATAAATGCCCACAAGCAGGACCAGCAACCAGCTCCGGAGGAAATTTTCCCAAGCAAATCCCACAAGTAAGCTGTCCAACAAAAACTCAAGCTCGTTAGGAGGTTTTCAATAATGACAACCTTACATAGACTCCTGGAAATTTTGACACACTGATATAGTCTATAACACATAATATACAGGTTAAGTAAACATTTTTACATCAAAAAGTAACTTACATCCTTTGTATTAGATGATCCAGCTCCATCAAAGGAAACGTCTATAAGACCAAGTTTATCACGGATCTTCTGCCCATCTGAAAACCATTTATCAGGTATAATGCCAACATTCCTGTTCAATCAGAAGATATCAGTGATTTTTCCTCAATTCTGATCTAACTCCCCCCAAAAAATACAAAAAATAACACAGAATGAATCAGTATAAGCAGTATGCTATGTTGAAATGAGAAATTGCATTTTAGAATAAGGAGGTAAGCTGTAACACTAGACTATATAAATTGCCTCCACTGCTTTAAAATATAAGTGAAGTTGGCCAAGTCTAATTATATTAAAGCTGTAAGAAATTAGAGAGAATAAACCATTATAATAGGACTTTACCAGCTATAATAAAGCAGCAGGATAGCAGCTTCAGCCCTTGGAATCGAAAGTATGTCACAAATACTCGCGATGGCAACTTCTTGACGTTCATGAATTTCAGCTTGGCTCAAGACTTCATAAGGTTTCTGAGCATCATGATAAAAATGATTACAGTTAGAATTATAAATCTAAGCAACCAAAGATCAGAAAAAAGTTGTCCTGTTCTAAACCACAATAACTTTTTGTCAATGAAATTTAGTTTGATTCTCCTAGGGTAATCTTCCATGCTAAAATTAGACTAATCACTATTAGTTGAAGCAGTACGTGATAGCGTGTATGAAGCACGTGCATCCACGCATATGTATATTAATTAGGGAAAGAAATCATTTACCATTGATACTTAATTTGAAATTTGTTAAACTATTTCGAAGATTAAGTGACATAATTTAACACCTAATCCAAACTGTGTACTACACACATAAATGTACATCAACTTAACCTGTAGTCCTGTACTCCTGTTAACATTTTTGACTCACAAAATCACAATTGCTGCTGTTGTTGCACCATGTTACTACAAGTTATTTATTCGAAACAGGATATTGTTTTAACTAAACTCCGCGTTCATTTACAAGTTCACAGGACTGTTATGCTACTACCAAGTACAAAGCCACAGAACAACATGATTAAAGACTTAAACCATGAGTTATTATCATGTTATAAATCTTATAATCATTCATCCTAGCCTTTCCTTTACTACAAATGCTAATTCTAAGTTCATAAGCATCTATTATACTCGAATTTTAAGACACTAATATAAACCTCTTCACCATAAAAAAAAAAAAAAAAAAAAAAAAAAAAAAAAAAAAACTCTTCACTACATAAAATTAGAGAGTATAAAGTCTTGATCAGATTCATGAAGGAACCTAAAGGGCCTAAGACAACATACACTAAAAGACTCGGTTTTTGGTACTCGTGTGATATAGTGTATATAAACCGATCATGGGCTTCAACTAGTTGAGTTTTATGTTTAAGTGTCGAACATGGTCAATTTATGTAAATTCCCCACTAATTTGATAAATAAAACTTGTCTAATTTATTCCTTTTCCCCAAATTGCAAACCCTAGATCTAAATCTAAGAGAGCAAAAATTGTGTAAGTCCAATTTCTAAACACTCAAAATTATGAATTCTACGACAGAAACAAATATTTGTAGTCTTGATCCCCCGATTTAAAGTGTCAAAAATGGCCATATAATGCAAATTTCCCCAATTCAATTCAAAATTGTCGAAGTTAATACTTACCTCGAAATGCAAATCCTAGAACCAAAAGCGTCAAAGATGCTCAAAGGGTGTAAGACCTCTAAACACACTCTCGAAAAGACATACCCCGTCACAAAAATAAGATGTCGAGTCTCGATCTACACTATTTAGGGTCCAATACTATGCGACTCGATTTTGAGTTTTGACTAATCTTGTAGACAAGGTCGCAGAGGTGTCAAAAACCTACCGTCTAATCCGACTTGAAACCAACCCAAAAAAAAATTAAACTCAGATAGTAACTTGTTGCACACGACCTGACTTTAAGAAAAGACCTCATTTAACACGATCTGATTTTAATAAACTCGACCCAAACACCTAAATTAACACCTCCAGACATGGGTATTTATGTCACAAGTGTCACACATATTTATTTAAGACTCAAATTTAAACTCAAGTTTCGTTTTTTAGTGTCGTAAGGGCTTATACGTTTTTGTTTTTTATATTTAATTTTTCAGATTCTTTTTTAATAAACTAATAAAAAGGAAAACAAAAAAAGTTGTTTGGATTTTTTTGTTATTAGTTATAAAAGTAATTGTGATTTTAATTAATTTGACTAATTTTTAATTTGTTAAATATATCATATAACTTTCAAAATTAAAATAAAATTAAAAAAAAAAACCACAGTGATACCGAACGTAGTTTTCCATTTATTGTTGACAGATGTCAAAATCATGATAAAATTATAACGAGTTTGACTAATTTTGACTCTTATGTTATGACTTTTAAAAACCAAAATATTGAAAATTACAACCATATCACACAAGCCCCCTTAATGGCAAAAATTTTTACATGATAAGATGTCATTAAAAAAAATAATAATAAAAAAAACATAAACAAATTTGTTAATCAACATTCAATTTTCTAGGCATTAAAAATAAAATGAATCAACAAATTATTATTATTATTATTATTTTTTATCCAAGCAAATTAAAACTATTTGTTAGAACATAGAAGCATGCTTTTATATGAAGTGTGTCATTGTATGAAGGATGCAATAAAATAGATTAATGCACATAACAAAATTTTAATGATTTTTGCTAGTAATTGAATAAGAAGGGTGTAGTTTAATTTATACCTTAATAGTACCATCCTTATTTTCTGTCTCTTCCAAGTCGCTAAGCATAACATCAGCATCAGTAATCCCATCATAATCAGTATCAGAAGAAGAAGATGAGTCACACAACATTTCAACATCTTGTGGCTCATTTTCTTCTTCAAGAATGTTGTTGTTTGTGTTTTCTGGTGAAGCCATTAGATTAATTTAATTTGATTAAAAGAGAAGATTTTTTTAATAAGAAGCTTAATTTTAGAGACAATTAGAAGAGAATGATGAGAGGTAATAGGCTAGAGAAATGACACTCTTTTTATAGAGAGGAGAAGGGGGGTGGGGGGTAGGGGGTAGGGTGGAAAATGTGGAGGGACTTAAAAGAAATTAAAAAAAAAAAAAAAAACGTTACTCCCTCTATCCAATAATAATTGTCCGTATATTAGTCTATTACTCTCTCTGTAACTAAGTAATTGATATATTTGACTTTATTTCACTGTTCATATATCAACCTTGACCATACTTTATCAGTAACGTATTAAAAACAAATTCTACCATAAAATATACTGTTAAATAATTATTAATACTACCTCCGGTCCAATTTACTCGCAACAAGGAATATTTTATGTCTCACAAATAATTCCCCTTTGTTGCGAGTAAATTGGACCGGAGGTAGTATAAGGTTTCATAATATCAACTTATTTTTAAAATTTTATTTATTAATATTTAAACATATAAAAAGGCCAAACTAATGTATTGGCATGCATATATCAAGTTTAACTATGCCAATTGTTATACTTATTGATATTTAATTATATATTTTTTTGGTGAAAATATTTTATTATATTGGTAAAAGTTTTGCATTGATATACGTGTTAGAAGAAATGTTGCACTTAAATAAAAAAGACGTAGGGAGTATTTGTTGAATGCATTTGACTTTCATTTGATGTCAAATGTGTCAATTATTTTGAAACAAATGAATTATAAAAACATTTATATTTTTATATTTATATGCGTGGAAAAGTCTACCTTAAGCAATTAATTAAGGACAAAAGGAGTGATAATTGACCTTCACTTAAGGAAAGAAATTACAATAATTTCTAACAGTTATGATTATAAGAATTAAAGCATAGAAAATCTCTTCATAATTGACTTGATACTGTCACATGATATAGTTTAACCTAGTTTTGGTAACATATCACAGAGGATATAGGTCACAGTTAATGAAATCTCATTCTGAGGCTGTCAAAAATGAGAAATCTTTTATGATACTCAATAATCTCAATGGGTTTATTAAAACTACCTAGAAATAAAATTTAATTATGTACTAGTTTTTAATTCTATTTTTTTTTTATATGGGCTTAAAATGAGGCTTGATTTTGTGACCTTAAAACTCTACATATTAGTATAATAATCACAACAGATTACAATCCAATACAGGTATCAAATGAGATATCATTTTTTTTTTTTTTTTTTTTTTTTTTTTTTTTTTTTTTTTTTTAACAAGACAAGATAAGGAATGGATGGGATGTTGGGTTCACTTCCTAAATCAAAGCCCAAACTAAGAAAACATTTGTACTCCTATCTTGGATTGAGCTAAACCCATATAGCTTCCAACTTCCTTCTTTTATTTTTACCAAACTTTAATTTTAATGTTGAATTTTCTAATTATAATTATTCAATTATGGCCTTGTTTGATACTACATACTAAATGACTTTTTGATATATTTTTTTTTAAAAAGATATTTTGATAGTCTTTAGTTTGACATTTTTTTCATGTGGTCAAGTAGAATGGGTTAATAATACTTGTAGCATTTTTGATTGACCAAAAAAATGATTTTAAGATTAATATTAATATTAATAATAATAGTAAAAGAAAATAGTCGAATTAGATTTTGATTTTGAATTTTGCAATGATAATAAAATACTAGTATTATTTTATCTGCGATGATTACTTTAATTAAAAACAACTATTGGTAATAATCACTCGGTAGCTATATCTTGCAGTAATTCATATGTATTGGTAATAAATACACAAAACTGCATTTATTATGTAGTACTATGTATTACGAGTATTAATGTAATACTAGTATTAATGTAATACTCGTATTGATCACTACTCCGTATTAAATTACTATATACGGAGTAACAATTTAATAATTTATTTACTCCGTATATATTTATACAAAGTATGTGATCATAACCTTCGGATTATAGATGCTAATGTCCTTAAAGATCATTTTGCATAATTAAGTCAATAGCCAATAGGGATTCACTTACATTAGGAATTCCCCTCGTGAGGAGGGCTTCCTAATGTTTATTTCTTCTTATCTTCTCAGAATACCGATAAGCAAAAAAAGCTTATACCTTTCCCCCAAAATATATGCTCATCTTCAGAGGAATACAATATGACAATATCATACATACTGACAAACTGTATACAGCTTTTAGCTTTACCAAGTCCCATTGATATTTTTATGTACCAATATATTGTTCTTTGCCTAAGTCTTCCTTATGACCTTTTATGAATGCATCATAGTTAGCAAATGATATTGAACAATTAACATCCTAGACACCCAATAACATGTCTTCGTCGTCTACAAGCAATAAGAGAAAGATTAAGCTAAGGAGCTCAGATGGGAAGACTTTTGAAGTGGAAGAAGCAGCAGCAATGCAATCAGAGACCATAAAATCCATGATAGAAGTTGTTTCAGTTTCAGAGGTAAATGGTAAGACATTGTCATTAGTCATTGATTACTTCAACAAGTGCCTTGATAACCAGAGTGCTGTAGAAAACAATGATGATCCTCTCATAGAATGGGCACTTCATCTCTTCCGAGCTGATCAGGCTGCTTTCTTTGATCTTATTCTGGTATGTATGTGTTTTCGAGATCAAATTCTGTTGGTAAATCATGCTGCCAGATTCGTATATAGGAATACTTTCATTAAATGCCATTGTATCTGAAGAACAATACTACTGTCAAATTTTGATTTCAGAACACAACAACAGCAGATATTTAGAATTGGACTAAAGAGTTGTGATTAATATGGTATCCTGTATTCCTGTTATAGTGTTATCTAATTCTAACTAGTTCATCGAAACATTTATCAGGCCGCTCATTATCTGAAAATCAAAAGCTTGGAGGATTTGACAAACAAGGTGGTGGCAGGTATTATAAGAGGGAAGTCCCTTGAAGAGATCAAGCAGACATTCAATTTAAACAATCCTACTCATAAGTAAACCTCATTATAACTTTATGAGGAAGATGATAATACAGTGGATATCTAAAGAAAAAAATTCTAGGGATTTTTTTTTTTGTATTTGCCTTTGGAGTTTTGATACTGCTACTTTATGTTGTATTTTGTTCTAGTACTCTGTAAACGGTTACTTGTATATCATGTCAGGTGGAGTTACTGTATAAATTTGATTCTCTAAGCTCAAGTTGTGAGGAAAAAAAAAAAAAATCAGCAAGTAATCTCTAGTACGCACTCTGTACTAAAATCAGTTTTGGCACTGGTAGAGGTAAAGAACACCATCAGAAGCATAAACACAAATATATACAGTATTAATGCAGGGAAAACATTGGTAATTTGGTATGTGTCTTATTGTTTGTAACATGAACTGCACATGTTAAATCTTGTAAATCAGATATATGTTCATGTATCCTGCACTAGTGTTTACTGTTAGGACAGTTTCTCCATGTCAAACTTTGTCACATCACTTGACATGAGCCACAATGATAGAGAGTAGTACTGGGATGGATGACCTCCTGGGAAGTCCTAATGTTCGTTCATGTAGCCGACCCCACTTATGAGATAAGACGTTCAAGCAGAACAAGAAGAAGAAGACTGTCTCCATGCCAAAAATGTTGAGCTTCAGCATTTCTAACAGAGCATACTTGGCTGTACACGGTAGAAGCTGAAGATTATTTGATCAGTAATCTCTAAAGAGTGCTGAAGATTATTTGATCAGTAATCTCTTAAGAGTAGAAGCTCATCTTACATTCTGAAGCTTGGGCAATTTTTCTATTCTGATCTATGTTCCTGGAAAACGGAGGGAGAAAAATAAAGGTCTGCCCTCATGTACAACAAATCATTCAATTTTTTTTCTTTTGAATGTTCAATATAGAGTTTTACATAGCATTATATCAGCCAGCATCTGTAATACTGAAAAAAATAATATCAAGCTATAAACCTATAGCATAACATATGACATTATGACATAACAAACAAATGAATAGTTCTATCACTCCCAGTTTCCAACAGATTTCTATTATCTACAAAACCTCCGGCCTTAGACTAAGAGTGAACTATAAAAGCTGAGACTGCTGCATACGTTCTGCTAATTCACTAGGGTATATGACTACAGAGTCCAAGCAAAGCCCTCCTTTGGTGTGTGTACAATCAATTTGAGCCAAGGAGAACTTGATCTTCATAGGAGTGTGGTGATTCTCAACTGTGAAATCCCCGGCATGGTAATTAAGCCAGTTCCCAGCTGGCTTTAAGTAACACTGGGAGACAGCATCCTGGCCATTTGAGGCTGACAATTTAAACCTAACTGGCTTTCTGTCCCAGCCATGCACTCCCTCTGTGTTGCAAATTCGTCGACCAAATCTTTTGGAGGGTTTGCCTAACTGAAGTCTGAAAAACAGGCTGTATGTACCAGCAGGGAAATTGAACTCCAATTCCCCTCCCACCTCCAACCACCATACTTGCTTTAGGTACGCAATCGCTTGGAATCTACACACGACACAAGAAATTCTCAATCAGTAAGCCACTCAAGAGGATATGTATCTATGCATCAAGATCAACATTAACCCCAAAGCCTCTAAAGACACCCCTCTAAGGTGGGTAACGCAAGGGGTAAGGCATATGCTGCCTTATAAACTCACCCCAGCTTTGATAAAAACTCGAAGAGACTAAATGCAATTTACCATTACATCTATATGCAATGGTTGTCCGCTATTACTCCCAATTCCCATTAGTCCCATATCCTACTGGCTACCAGATGATAATAATATTAGATGGTATTCGTTATACATGAAGAGAAACACGTGTTTGGGGATGGACTTTCTTTATCATGAATTAAATGAAATGTAAAACTAGATATAAGATACAAATCTAATACTATTAGTGCCGTTATTAGTTGTCTACCAAACAAGCTTATAGGCTTTTTTTTAAATTTTTTTTTTTTTAAGATGTTACTAATTGAAGGAACAGGGGTCAACGCCTAAGTTTAGCTTGCAAGCAATGTAATCATGAAAAGTCTAAGATATTTAAGAATCTAATTGCGTAAGAAAATGAAGAAAACACAAATTAATACGTATATATGCATGAAGAAAACTACACAAGGCAGCCAATGGTAATCAAAGAACAGCGTGTATTGGTGATTTAACTGTCAATTTGATCACCAATTTGATCACCAATACACGCAGATGCCTACAACATGACTATAATGGTTCCTTTGTTAATGCAGTTGTGGGACCTGATACTTAAACTAATAAGGTTGCAAGATCAGGAAGCAGACCGATTCCAAAGCTAAAAAACCAAGAAAAGTCCAATTTAGTTGATCTACTATCATATATATTACTAATTTACTATATATGTGTGATCTCATATAGGTTGATATTGTAACTCATTTTGATGACATTGACTTTCAAACACGATTAAGTTAAGCGAGAAAATTAGAGCTTCAGATGTATGTAAGCTGCAAATATATCATATATTATTCATATAACCATAAATAAATTTAGTTCATATTTTCTCTCAATATAAATAAATGTTCGTTAAATTCATAATACTACATAATAATAATGCCTACAGAACTCACAAATACAGTCTCATATTACAAACTATTTGTGCACTGCACGAGATCACTAACTAAATCAGCTCCAAAAGGGGAAAAAACAGTTATAATAGTGGATTAGAGAAGTAAATTCTGTAAATTTTAACTCTAAGCATCAAACTACACCCTATATCATTTTGTTGTTCCATTGATAATAGATGGTAAAATTCTGTTTTTGCAACCCTTTTATTCCTTTCGTTCATTGGCTACGAGTAGCACTTATAACTGTCACTAATTTCATGTTTCTTGTTCATACAACCACTACGATTTCATACAAATAATTTTGGTCCATGAATTAAGGAAATATCTTTTCTTGCAAACTAAGAGCCAGCCAAAAAGTTCAAATCTTGAATACGACCCTTAAAACTTTTTGTGCACACTAACGTCATAGTTCATATAAAATGAGCTTAGCTTGTAGCCTCTTGTACTTGTTTTAATTTGCTTCACAAGAAAAGATTTATGGACATTTATTCATGATTTTTGTAAATACAGCTACCATTATTTTCAAAGTTTGATAAATCAATCAACACTCATATGGAAAACAGAAAAATATCACATCACATATTTAGGCTAATATTTAATTTGTTGTTTAAATTAACCAGAAAACTCCAAATCTGCCTTACATCATCAATCTATGTTACTTGGACTCAGATGAAGTGTCAAATTAGACACAGGTGTCCAAGCATCGGAGTCGCCCATTTTCTTGAAAAAGTTGTTTTTTAGTTATTAAGAAGTGGGTGTCGGTGTCGGTGTCCGACATGTATTGTGTCGACGAGTAACATAGTTATCAATCGTATCATTAACCAATTTAACCTAATACAGTATTAATTCTTTCTATCTTAAGAAAATGACTTTGCCTTCTTGCAACATCACCTGTGTCGGTATATGGTGCCCCAGAATCACCAACGACGGTAGTCCTCTCCGACACACCGGCGTTGGCTTCATACAATATGAATTTCTCTAACACTAATTCGCTCTTGCTCTAGATCAAGACTAGAGATCTGTACATACTAATTAATCTTGCCTCACAAAAATACATACATTGATAGGGTTTTGTTTTCATGTTACACTATTTCTTACATAGTAGTACTAATTATAGCAACAAAGTAATCAAACATTAATTTAGTAAATTATTATAATCCAAAGTCCATTATTAGAAACTTGCTGTATAAAAATGGAATGAACCAATTAAATAGTGGCTAATTATGAAGTATTATCGTAAATAATAAATCTAAACAAAAACAAAACAAAATCAAATTCTAACCTGGATTCATGAGTCGAAATATGAGTCCAATATCTACGATCATCTATTCCAGTGATCGTCATTCCTCTCCATGAAATCGCCATGCACATCTTCCCACTATTTTTCTCCAACCATATCTCCTGTACACAGCCATAATCCAACTCAATCACAAAAAGGGTCTGAACTCATTTATCGCATTACTAGTCCAAATTACACTATATGTCCGAGTGTCCGACTATGACTAGAAGTCGAACTCGACAAAACATAATAAATAAATAAATAAATAAACAAAAGTTTACCTTAGTTCCAGCATCAAATCTGACAGAGCGAGAAAGTCGAGAGAAAATCTCTCTCTTACTAAATCTCTTAGGACTTTCATCAAACAGTTTCCGAACAAGAAACTCAAAATTCGAAGGTAACTTAGTCTCCCAAACAAAATCCGATAATGAGGCTTCATAAAAAGCCCAATTGACCTCCGAAAGCCTGCAAATCTCAGGTGGGCTTAACTGGCCCAATATCACCGCCACACAACTTTCCGGCAAGTCACCCAGCCCAATCCTCCCAGTGGACCTCAGCCCAGATTGCCCACTTCCCATCTTGTTAAAAGAATAAATAAAATTTAGACAAAAATAGAAATAATTAAAGGTTATAATAATTAGAAATTTAATGGTATAATAAGAGGTAAAAGACGGAGAGAGAGATGGAGGAGAAGTAGCTAACAATGGAGTTTAGCATATTTTAGAAATTAGCCATTTAGAGAGAGAAAAAAGAAGAACGGTGCCCAATTCAAGATTGGTTGGAGTAGGGTGACTTTTGAATGTTGGTAATAAGATGGAAATTGGAAAGTGGGATTGGGTCCCACATAGTCACATACTAGGGTCTTTTGAAATGTTATTGGATGCTTGGTTTTTTATAGGCCAATCAATCAACTTGTAGACTAACTGAAAAACGTGGGAATTTTTCATTCATTTTTTAATTATTTTTTTAATAGTAATGATGATAATTGCTACTATTAATTGTGACAACAAAGTTTTTGGTTGAGAGATTAGTGAGTACTTTTTTTTTTATTAGAGAGTTTAACTATATAAAACAAAATTAATAAGGGTCTATTATGTTCAACTTAATTTCAATTTAGTTCAATTCATTTCAGCTTCAATCAGTTCAATTCCTAATTTCTTTCTCTCATAAACAATTCATTTCAGTTCAGTTCAGTTTAGTTAAGCCCCAATCAGTTTAGTTTAGCTCCGCTGTTTTCAGTAAATCAAAACAGGACATAAGTCTATGTTTGTAGGTACGCTATAAAAATTGAAGTTGTTATGTGCAGTTTGAGTATGAGTATTTAAAATAATCAATATAATATATTTTCCATTCTCATGTTAGAATTTGTTTTTCTTCAAACTTATGACTTGAAATTTGTTTCAAACTTCTCTATTCATCCAATTTACCCATATAAACAAAATAAAAAATAAGGTAAAAAATTCAACATTTAATAAACTATTGCATGCAATAATAAATGGTGAAGTATAATTTTTCTCATATTCAACAAAAAAATTCATATGCAGAAAACCCATTATTTTATGCAATGATAAATAAAGGTTATGCCAAGCCTTTCTTTCCAAGTGAATAACTTATTGTAATAATTAAATTTATATTGGTCTATCGAAATAAATTGATTCAAATACGGGAATTTATTGTTAAAAATCTAGATTTTGTATGTTTTACAAGAAAATTACAATAACTTTAAAAAATGAAGTAAAATGATAAAATTCCTAAACAACCTATTATCTAATCATGATGCAAATTATTATTATTATTATTATTATTATTATTATTATTATTATTATTATTATTATTATTATATGAAATAATGGTAATTTTTTTTTAAATATCATTCTGAAAGCTCTACATATACACTTGTAAATAATATGGAGTAATTGAATATAGACTAATTAAAGTAATTTAAAATTGTACAAAGTATATTTGACGGGTATGTAATTATTGAATGGTTAACTTTTAGGTTTAATTACCTTTTAAAAATGATTTATAGCCTAAAACCATATTACTATAAAAATAATAAAATCATATTAATAATACTCCGTACTCATTATTCATTTTTTTTTCCTTAATTTAAAAAAAAATTTACATTTAATTTTGTAGGCCCTTAATACGATGGGTTGTGCTCATAAGTTTGGATTTTTTGGTATAACTAAACTAATTAATTATTAAAATGATGGATTGGTTAGATTTCTCATCAAGCATTCCTTTTCTTTTATTTTTTAGGCAAGTTCTCATAAAAACTTTATTCATATGCTATCCGCTGTCTTTAATGCATGGAGTACGACATTGCATCCACTTATTCTAAAACATTTCCTTCACCTTAGTTAACAACATGGTATATATCACGTATTTGTTTTCGAGTTAAGAATATTGCATATACTCCATAATTTTTCTACTATGAATGACATGACAAACTCAAATTTAGGAAACTTCTTGTTCCTTTATTCCTTCTCGTATAAGTTTCCTTGGTTTTCCAACTTGTTTGTTGGAATATATAGATCATGGATTAAAAAAATAATGTTACGTAAATTATTGTAACTTTAAAAAATAAATGTCATCCTCTACTTAATATTATTGAGTTGTGAATTTTTTGTGATTGACTTTGTTTTACAAGGTTTTTATTTGCTTTAGTTTTAAGGTAAATGTCACCCTCTATTTAATATAATTGAGTTGTGAATTTTTCGTGATTGACTTTGCATGTTTTACAAGGTTTTAATTTGCTTTAGTTTTAAGGGGTCAATGAACAAATTAAGCAACTATATCATACAAGTTAGTTAAGTACAACCACACATACAATTGGTGCATTTATTTGGTGCATCTATTTCAATTCTTTTAGCAAGGGCTTACATACATTTGTTTCTTTAGCCAAGCTACAATTCATAAAGAATAATGAGATTATAAGAATACTACCAAATTCATCAAGTTTTTATTATCAACGTTGGGATGATTTTGATCCAATTGATTTTTGTTGACTCTTAATTGGTTTGATAGTTAATTATGTTTAGTTGTTTACCAATGAATAGCATTACGTTGTTCCTTTTTCTTGTATTTGGATACCATTTGTACAATTTAACTTGATCTAACTTAAATTAATTTGTAATTGATTTAATTTACCATTCCAATAACACCATTACATATTTTTTTAGGTGGAAATAAAACCATAATATTTTAACTTAGAACATTTCTTTTTTTTTAAACTAAAGTAGCAATGTATTTGTTCATTATATTTATTAAATGAGCAACTCTAAATAGTACTATATATACTATGATTCTATTGGTCATATTTTAGTTGAGTATATAATAAGTAAGCACATTATCAAGTGTAGTAAACTAATAAGACTACGGACTATACTATAACAAGAAGACAGACTGTATTAATAAAATAAACCATCGATCTGGTTAGTGTACAAAAGGATATGGTCTTGCATCACATAACAAACCCTAATTATATTTTAATGATTTCTATATCCAAATTAAGATTGTATGATCTGTTTTCGTGTATAATAGAATTATCAGCTGATTGATCAAATCAAGGCACTATTTCTGCTTAACCATTGACTCTATGTTTAATTTGACGTTGTTTATAATATGCTCATTGTGTCCTTATCTTATCTCCTCCCAACAAGAATCTTAAGAGAAATAAAACAATAAAATCGGCTCAAGATATTGTATCTTAATTATATTATTATCTAGATATGAACATGTTATGTTATGGCTTAGCATTTTACCTTTTTTTATTTTTTTTTTAAAGTTTGTACTATGTTGGCGTGAAAATCATAATTGTGAACGACTGAACGCACACTATAAGAATTCGTTTTTTTTATCAACTGGCAAAATCGAGGCTACGTACTTACGTATAGGCGTACAGCTATATATATATATTATGGCCTATATCTTCTTATAAATTCTTATATGCATCGATGGAAATTTTGTCCTTCTAACGGTATAGAGGACCATGAAACATGTCCTGTTCAAGACCTCATGAGTTGGTCTTAGGCAATTAATATGTTTTGTCATGATTTTGTAGTTAGACAAATAATAATGGTAACTAAGATTTTATGTCACATTATTTCTTTTATAAAATGATGATAATAATGTTGTGGGACTAATATATATGCATGTCGTTCCATAAGATCTCCATCATCCAACATCACAATCTATCTATGGCAATCAAGCTTTCACAATTGCCGAAGCTTTTGGCGTGCATGCACTCACTTTTTACCTCTTTAGGTCCCTTGGATTTTGTATGCCATATTTTACATTGAAAATTAGGGAATTCCTCATTATGTAATTGTTTGGGCTAAGTCCATTGTCCTAAGCCCAGTGATCTAAAATGACGAAAATACCCCTCCATGATCTAGCCCATCATTAATCATCACAAAGTATAGATTTGCCCCTAATTTGTCGACTCAAGTACAAATCTGCCACCAGAAAAGTACATCTATAAATAGCTCTCCAATCATTAATGACGGTAACTTTTTTCTAATTATCCCTCCTCTCTCTCTCTACTTTCTCTCTCTAGAAAATATTGTTGCTGACTTAAGCATCAGAGGGGCTTTCCTGGGTTACACCCGTAGGACAACTAACCTTCTCTGTTTTGCAGGCCGAGCTTTCGGACATCCCTTTGCTAGGCGGAGCCGAAGGACAGTTAGACGATCGGACAAACTCTAGGACATCTTGATGTACCCTATTACACTAAGACTCCTAGGATCATTCTGTTTCCAAACTTACATGATAAATAATTTAACCAAAAAACGACATGTGTATGATTAATATATACTGAATAATACCAATAACAAAATGGTCTTAAATATCATTATAGTAAAATTGGTTATAGTACTAGTATAAAGTAAAAATGGATTAACTTATTTCTCCATCCATAGCATAAATTAAATAAGCAGTATTAGATTCATCCAAAATATTTACCCTAATTCGATTTTACCTTATTGGATCATAGTGTAGGTCCAAATAGGGTAAAATTGGGAGAAGCCAAGTCTATCTATGTTTCTTTGTAAAACGGTTGTTGACAACCTGATATTATCTGTGAACTGCTACTGAATTGTCAACATTAATATCAAATTACCAAGCTATAATTATATACACATTGTTGTTATATTTATGTCAACTGTAAATAACACCGTATGTACTGTAGTTTTAAGCAAATTCCTTGTTCTAGCCTCTCATGTCATGTGAACCCACGTGCAATTCTCACTGTCTTAGGCTTAAAGGCTTTTGCGTAACAACTACTCGCACGTACTGATTTATTAATAAATACTTCCTCCGTTGTTTATTACTTGACCCGTTTTGACTTTTACACATACTATTTACCATCTCTCCTTTGACCGTCTTTTGTGAATAATATGTAAGGAAAAATATATTCATGTATGATCTTTTGGGATTCGTCTCAATAAGTACTATCATAATATATAACTTTTATAATTTTTACTTATGGAGAATTTAAGTTATTGATCGTTAAAGTTTTGCATTGACAAGCGTGATAAAAGAAACAGGTCAAGTAAAAAAAGAACAGAGGAAGTACGAAGTAAATACAATAATCCTGTTCTGATAGCTTACTAAGTTATTGTACTCCGTAATATGTCTCTCTATTTCTCTATCTTACTTTGTACGAATTATAAGATGATACAGAGTATAAGATAATACAAAGTAAGTTTAGTGTTAGTTTAAAATAGCTGAAGTAATCATTTAGATTTTGCAAAATTATATATAAATGTACATATAGATACCGAAAAAAAAGAAGAAGAAGAAGAAGAAGAAGAAGAAGAAGAAGAAGAAGAAGAAGAAGAAGAAGAAGAAGAAGAAGAAAGAAGAAGAAGAAGAAG